GAATGGAATGGAATGGAATGGAATGGAATGGAATGGAATGGAATGGAATGGAATGGAATAGAATAGAATAGACTAGAATAGAATAGAATAGAGTAATTTTATTGGCCAAGTGTGATTGGACACACAAAGAATTTGTCTTGGTGCATATGCTCTCAGTGTATATAAAAGAAAAAATACGTTCATCAAGAATCATAAAGTACAACGCTTAATGATAGTCATAGGGTACAAATAAGCAATCAGGAGACAATATCAATATTGTCATTTGCATCCTTTTAGAGAGTCTTGACTTGGAGGTTTATCTTTGGGGGGGGGGTCACCTGAGTAGGGCTCCTGGTTCCTGTAGTCTGCAATTTTCCCCCCTCTGGAAATCCATTCCTACCCACACACCCTTCGAAGGGTGTTGATCTCAAATTGTGTAGCTAAAAGTCTGTAGAGATTCTCAGTCCTCCAGGTCACAGTTGTCCCAAAGGGGCTTTTTTAAGGAGGCTTTCTGATTTTTTTTTTCTTTGAAGATGTTTCGTTTCTTGGATGAGAAGATGTGGCAGAACTGAAGAAGCTTCTTGGATGAAAAGTGAAATGTTTTCCAAAAAAACCAACAAGACAGCCCAGTTGCCTCCTGGAAAAAAAAAAATCACCTTTGGGTCAGAGTGTGGTTGACCCCAAGGTGCTTTTCCAAAAGGCAACTGGACTTTCATGGGGGGTTTTCCTTGAAAATGTTTCGCTTCTCATCCCAGAAGCTTCTTCGGTTCTGCCAGATGTCAGAAAGTCAGGTGTTAGAAAGCATCTTTGGGAGGGTCTCGCTATGTACGCTCCCACACCTCCACAGCCCAGGCAGGTAGGTGGATAGGTAGACCCAGATATAGAATCCATCTATCTCTCTAGCTATATCACATAAGGCACTAGCTATCAATAGGTAGGTGAGGGAGACAGACAGACAGACAGACAGACAAGTGGTCCAGTGGCTTAGAGGTGGAGGCCTCGCCTCACAGTCCGAAGGCTGTGAGTTCAATCCTAGGTAGAGGCAGATATTTCTGTCTCTGGACACATTGAGATTATATCTGCTGAATAAAACTCTGCATTGGTGACAGGAAGGGAATCTGGCTATTAATGCTAGCTCTGCTAGCTGCATTCAGTTACCCAGATATATTACGGTGTCGTTAAATGATAGCTAGCTAACTAGATATGGTATAATTGAGATAGATAGATGATAGATAGATAGATAGATAGATATGGTATAATTGAGATAGATAGATAGATGATAGATAGATAGATAGATAGATAGATAGATAGATAGATAGATAGATATGGTATAATTGAGATAGATAGATAGATAGATAGATAGATAGATAGATAGATAGATAGATAGATATGGTATAATTGAGATAGATGATAGATAGATAGATAGATAGATAGATAGATAGATAGATATGGTATAATTGAGATAGATGATAGATAGAGAGAGAGAGAGAGAGAGAGAGAGAGAGATATGGTATAATTGAGATAGATAGATAGATAGATAGATAGATAGATAGATAGATAGATAGATAGACAGACAGACAAATGCAATTCCTGCAGCCATTCTTCGTATGTTTTTACTTAGCCTCCAGTCCTTAATCATCTTTGTTGCTCTTCTCTGACTTGACCTTGATCACCTGACCTTGATGGCTAGCTGATCCCTAGATGCTAGTTAGCTAGTTAGTTAGTTAGTTAGTTAGTTGCAAAAAGGCTTGTGAGAAAGGCCATTCCATTCCACGCTCTGTCTCTTTGCAGATCTTCGCGTTTTGAGGCTGCAACGGGAAATGTCAGATTTTCCATCTTTCCGAGCAAATTCTTGGAAACTCTGACCTTGTGATGAATGGCAGATGGCTTTTGTGATTATTATAAGCAGGCTGTAAGCCATGTGTGATTACTGAAAACAGGTGGGGAGCAGGATACCAGGGGTGAATCCAGGGTAAACAGAGAACAAAGCAGGAGTGAACCAGATTCTCACAATCTTGATTATTGGCGCCTCCCTGAACACAACAGGCTCAGGACTCAACAGCCTGCTTCTGCTCCTTTTTTTCCTGAAATGAGGTGGAATTGTTCTAGAGCAGGGGTCTGCAACCCACGGCTCTGGAGCCGCATGTGGCTCTTTCATCCCTCTGCTGCGGCTCCCTGTCACTCAAAATATGCGTCACAACCGCCAATGTGCAACACCCGCCGGCACGCGATTTATTGAGCTTTTCGACCCATCTTTTTTTTTTTTCGGAGTTCAGAATGTTTTTGTTGCGTGCAGAAATAAAAATTTGTTTTCTCTGTAGCAGGTCTTTGATTTCATAAATGCAACGCACTATCGTTTTTTTTGTATGCATATATGCATAAAGGTTAAAAAAAAAACGATATATGCAGTGTTACCTTCATTTTAGACGTCAAAAGGGTTTTGTGGCTCCCGGTGTTTTCTTTTCTGTGGGAAACGGGTCCAAATGGCTCTTTTGAGTGTTTAAGGTTGCCGACCCCTGTTCTAGAGCAACTCGGCCACTGTTTTCCACTTGACGGAGCTAGATCAGGTTGGAAGAATAGTTTTAAAAAAATGCAGGCTGGTGTAGCCATTCAAGGGTTGGCCTAGAAAGCTGGAGGGTTCCATTTAAAATAAATTTTTATTTGAGTATAAATATTAAAAAAGCATAACATATACACAACAAACATTTATACAACATATAAACAAAAAGATTATGTTTCCTTCTTAAGCATTTTTTCAAAGTGACATTCTACTTATATTTCTTCACCTCTCCTTAATCTAATAACATTTTTTTTAAAATCGGTAATATTTCCCTCCATATTTTTTGTTTATTTCTCATTTTTAACCAATTATACCAATTATTCCATATTTTGTAATAATCTGATTCTTCTCTTTCTTGTATTTCTTTTGTTAACCTATCCATTTCAGCACATTCTAGAATTTTTTCTATTAATTCTGCTTCATTTGGCGTTCTTTCTTGCTTCCAATTTTTTGCATAAATTATTCTTGCAGCTGTTAGTATGTGAGTTGTGAGATATTTGATATCTTTTGGATATGATTTATTTAAAAATTCCTAATAAAAATGTTTCTGGTTCTTTTTCTATCTGTGTTTCTGTTATTTGTTCCAACCATTTTTTAATATTAGACCAAAATTTCTTTGCTGCCAGGCAAGCTGGAGGGTTCCAAGTTGCAGATTTTCCTTAAGCACAGAAGCCATCTGGGAGACTTTAGGCCAATTTTGACCCACCTCCAAAGGTTATTGTGATGGTGAAAATAGGAAGTGGGAGCATTCTGCATGCCACTTTGAGCTATGCAAAATAAAGGGAGGATCTAAGAATTCTTTCTTTTTTTTTTTATTTTTAGTTTTAGAATATACATTAACATCAATACATGAACAGTGCGGCATCTGGGTATGGTTCATTTTGGGACAAATGGCAATAATAATAATATGAATAATATTTGTTGCATTAATCAAACTTATGAAAACCTAGTATTAATATACATGTTTGTGTTAAAGTAATTCAATATTTCAATGTTCCATTTTAATGCCGATCACAATATCATTTGAGTTTACAGAGTACTGCCATCTTTCAACCTCTAATCTTTTTCTCTAGTTATTGCTTTTATTCCATTGTATGAAAAATATGTGTGCTAATATTCCCCCTATTTCTTATTTCTGCCTCTATTCTGGCTTCTAGTCAGGCCACAGAATTGATTTTCTTAACAAGCGCAAGGAGTGTATTCTTGCTTCCTGTAAAAGGCTGCATTTCATGCAGAAGTCATGCAAATAATTTATGTCCTGCAGCAGATTATCATATTTATGATAATTTACCCAGATGAATATCATAATTTTGATGAGTTACCCAGCCGATTATCACGAAGGTATTTATGACACTTTATCCAGCTGGTTGTCATAATTTATAATAATCTGTAGCTATAGATGTTAATTTATTTCAAATCCAACTGGACGCTGAATTCTCATGGAAATTATTTTGTTTGATGAGCAATTTGCACCTCTCAAAAGCTTCTGGTTTTTCAAGGAATGCATCCTGATTATTGTTTTTTTTTTTCCCTTGAATCTGACTTCCCTGTCCACTTCGGTCAAATGGCAGGATATAATTTTCT